TAATAGAGCTTCAGGTCAACGCGTTTTCTATAAGTAGCCCATACTTGGACGGCTTCGGGTTCAACCGTCTCCAGCGTGGTTCGCGCCTCTCGCAGTCTCTCTTGTCACCCTGTTTCTCTCTGTTTCTCTGTTGCTTACTCTGTTTTCTGTGTCAACTGAAACCATTTGTTTCTCATAGTCATAGCAGGGACCCCATACCAAAACACCCACCTTGTTAGTGTTGTATTTACAGATGCCTTCTTCAAAGGGGAAAAAGCATTCAAAGAGCCAATCAAAGTTGTCGAATTCTAACAAGTTTTCTTCACCTGGGTCACTTGATTTTGAAGCTACCGAAGAGAGTTTTGCAAGCTCTCTTGAACTAGCTTCGGTTAAATTCCCATCTCTGATTGGGAACTCTGCTTTCATTGGCCGAGTCACTGATGTTCAGGACGACCCCAAAAGCCGTAAAATTTGGCTTTCAGAGCCTTCCATGGTTGCCTCTTCCTTCACTCCTGGATCCATTGTATCAGTAAGTTTCCAATTTTTTCATGTTCTCTTTGTAAAAAAATCCAAAATTAGTTTCTTTTGTTGTTGTTGGTTTAACTGTGTCATGTTTTCTTAGGTGTCTCTTCCTTGTTTGAAGAGTAGACATTCAGATGAATTTCCTCTCAGCTCACTAGCAGATGAATGTGCTAGACGTTTTGGGGTTGATTCTTGTGGGCAGTTAACTAATGACGCAGGGAACTACTTTGCTCTTGCAACAATTTTTCCTTCTTCTAAGGTTTGAATGGCAACTGGGTTACTTTTTATTGCTCCCTTTATTTGATATGGCAATTGTGACAAATGGTTTTCTAAGAACAAAAAAAAAAGGGCTCAGCAGAAGAATTACGATGCAATAAAACTTAAAACATATGTCATTAGTGTGCGTCTAAACTCTAAACAGTAAATACCCTTTCTCCAGTACTGGGTGATACCAATCTCCCAAAGGATGTTCCATATATGAACTTGTTTTTGTAAAAGGATGTTCCATATGGCAATTCGTTTGCTGATTAAAAATAAATACGTTTTTTTGTTGCCTTTGGAGTTTGGAGTTTGGAATTGTGATGGTTGATTCATTGGAGTAAATTATTGTGTCACAACATTTGGGGTCTGCATTTTTACCCTAAAACATTTTCTTTACTTTTACTGATGCCTTTATCTCAGGTTACAAAGAACGGAGTGCTATTGTCTTCAAGTATTTCAAATACAATGGGTTGTCCTCCATCAGGCAGGGTCATATTCATCCACTCTGTACAAAATCATTCCCAAGCTGGTCTTTTGTGTGATACAAGAGAAGCACGTAGCACTATAGTTAATTGCCTCTCGGTATACGACTGCAAGGAGTTAGTTTTGGAGATGCTTCATTCTAACAATACCTCTGCCAACTTTTCTTCTGAAAAATCTTGCTATGGTTCTGAAAATGGAATGCTTGCATCCCCAGAGACACCATTGAATCAATCAAAGCTAAGTGTTTCTGATACCAGTCCAGTAACTTCACCACGGCGTGGGGAGTCAGTAGGAAATGTAACCATTCCCAATGAGTCATCTGTTGATTCTTTTGATATTGAAGAGGTTTTAGGGGATGATAGTACAAAAAGACTTCTGCAGACATGTGCTCGAACATGGTTGTACTCTCGCTGTCTACTTATTGGAAATTTTGTGATCATCCCAATGCTTTCACAGCTTTGTTTACTCCGAGTGATTGGTGCTAAAACTTTGTCAAAGAATATTGCTAATCATGATTTGCTAAATGAGGCTTCTGAACTAGTGGGCGGTGAAAATGATGCTTTTCTAGTGAAGCGAGAAACGAAAGTATGTTTTCATTTGCCATCAAACCCAGCATCTGAAACTCCACAGAGAAGCAATATATCTACAGGAGATGATACAGGAGACAACATTTCAAGATTGGGCGGTCTTTCTAAAGAATATGCAGATTTGAAGGAAATCATAATTTCATCCTCTACGAACTCTTTGTCAAGGTACGTCATATGAAACATTATTGTTTCTTAAGAGTGTACCCGAAATTTGCATCTGATTCAATCTAAATTACCAATAATAAGGCATTACAATGTCGTCTGATGCATACATTAAATGATTTGTATATAGGAAATATAGTCGATCTTTTGAAAATATAAAAAATGTAATTCTTGTCTTACAGGATCATCCCATTTAACTTGTTCACTTGGTGGTGGAAACATATGGTTTTGATGTGTTCATAAGTTATGGTCGTTCTTTTATTACATGAATTCATGCATATCTTTTTTAAATTGCTATAGTTTTCGACCTATAAGGGGAGTGGTTCTTCATGGTCCGCCTGGTACTGGAAAGACTTCTTTGGCTCGATTATGTGCCCGTGATTCTGGCATCAAATTTTTCTCTGTCAATGTACCTAAAAGTGAGCAAGATTTGATTGAAGTTTTCGACTCAGCTAGACAAGCTGCACCTTCTGTGGTTAGGTTTCTTCTCTATTTCAATTTTCTTGCCTTTTATTCGAAGGGTTCATTTTCTGGTTAGAACTTAGATGCATGTGGTGGTAAAGGCAAATATACAATTATATATGTACTTTCATTCCACAGGCAAAATTGTGTTAATCCTTTTCATGTGCACTATTGATACTGGCCCAGGCCTTTAGTCATTGTGAACCCTGATGTGATCTCTGTAGACAGCTCATTAAATGTCTCAAATAATTATGAGACAGGTTTTCCCTGGAATTTTTGGAAATTATCAGAGTTTACAGAAAGCTTGAAATTAAGATTGTTAATCCATTGTGAAAAGTGCAAATTCTAGAGATTATACTAGGGAATCGACTACGCTGAAAATTGCATGAACTCGGGGTCCTTTTTTGTGGGATGTAGTGAAGACTACCCTGATTAATTTTGTATATCAAAAACTAACACCCACTTACATACTCTCTAAATGCAAAATTCCCTAATAAAACTGAATCAAATCCCACCTTATGCTTTGAAAATGTAACGGAATACTGGAAAGGGTGCTCTCCTATACGAAAGACCTTACGGCTGTATCATTTTATAAGAGTGAATATATATTTTGTGGAACGTGGTTTAATTAATTTGATTATATTACCCAGCTTTTGCCTTTGAGAGACTAGTTGATTCAGTATCACATATCTTTACTTCGTTTTCTCTAATGGATTGTGTCCACACAGGTATTCATTGATGAGATTCATGCTATTGCACCTGCAAGGAAAGATGGAGGTGAAGAGCTATCTGAAAGAATAGTGGTTACACTGATGACATTGATGGATGGGATTAGTAGAACTGAAGGAGTAGTTGTAATTGCTGCTACCAACAGGCTTGATAGCATTGATTCTGCACTCAGACGAGCTGGAAGATTTGAGAAGGAAATTGAAATAGGTAATATGAAGATTTTCGTAGTGCTGATTTTTTTGTAATATCCAAAACCTTCTGAATAGTTTCGGAGTTATGAAAAGTGTACTAAGTAATATCCCTATGTTTCCAAATGTACTTGAATAAAGATTATTCTGTTACACTATCAATTTATTTATACTGGTATGCAGAGCATGTTTTCTTTTTTCAGATATTTGTCAATAATATCTTTGTTTTGAAAATTGACATTCAGGTGTGCCATCTCCCAACCAACGTTTGGAGATACTTCATGATCTTGTCGGTGCCATGGAGCACTCTCTTTCAGATGAGCAAGTCCAAGATCTTGCTAATGCTACACATGGTTTCGTAGGAGCTGATCTAGCTGCCCTTTGTACGGGGGCATCCTTGGATTGTCATGAGCGTCATGTCAAATATAAATACTCTCATGATTATTTGCACCAAACATCTATTTCTCATGAAGGTACTTCTAATGGTCTAATACTACCTGTTTGCACAAAAGATACAACACACGTATCAAGGGATTACTCAGATTCCACATCTTCGTCTATCTCACGTTTGGATTTTTCTTCAGAGATATCTGTGCATGTGAAGGGAACAAATGCAAATGGTGATAATTTTCTGAATGGCATAGAAGAAGAATGTGTCTTAAAAGTGACTTTTGAAGATTTTGAAAAGGCCAGGATGAGAGTGCGGCCCAGTGCCATGCGAGAGGTAGGGTCAATACTTCCATATGTTTACAGGCAGTCATTTTTGTTCAGTCTATGTTGTGTACCAAAGTTCCAGTGTCCCTAAACTAGTTTAATTAAAGTTTAGGTTCCACTTTCTCTTTACGGGCTCATCCAAGCACAGTCCAAATGGCCAGCTATTTGAATCAAACTGCTCCTCTTATGGAACTACAAGACAATAGGAGTTATTTATTTTTTCTCTCATCGGATTGAAAGTTCGTAGAGTACTTTTCTGAGTTCAAAATGTGAACTTTTCAATGGTTTGATTGTTTAATCATATCATGCGCCATGTTTTGGTCTAACCATTTAATAATGATACCAGTGGCCACTGGTATCATAAATTATGTTGCCCTTTAGACTGTCACTTGGTGGGAAACTTTTCTATCATAAATTATATTGAAGGAATGTTCTCACTGATAAAAGTACCCTGACTCTTAATTTGTTGCTTTAAACTTCTAGGTAAAACTTGAGATTCCGAAGGTTAATTGGGAAGATGTTGGTGGTCAAAGGGAGGTCAAAAAAAAGTTAAAGCAAGCTGTAATATGGCCTCAAAAACACCAGAAGGCATTAAAGCGGATAGGGATTCAGCCCCCAACAGGGGTTATGATGTTTGGTCCTCCCGGATGCAGCAAAACCCTCATGGCTCGTGCTGTAGCTTCTGAAGCACGGCTGAATTTCCTTGCTGTGAAGGGTCCAGAACTTTTTAGCAAATGGGTTGGTGAATCTGAGAAGGCTGTGAAATCCCTGTTTGCAAAGGCAAGGGCTAATGCCCCAGCAATCATATTCTTTGATGAAATTGACGGTCTTGCTGCTATTCGTGGGAAGGAAAGTGATTCAGTTTCAGATAGGGTTATTGGTCAGCTGCTTGTTGAATTGGATGGTTAGTAACAGTTCTAAATTATTGGATCCACAGTAGGTTCTATATTAGCCAGGATGCTCACTTAAAGCAATCATTTTTTTTTGCTATTGTATCTTTGACTTGATCAATACTGTTTAAATTAGGTTTTCATGCAAGAGATGATGTCACTGTTATTGCTGCTACAAATAGGATGGACAAGATCGATAGTGCCCTTCTAAGACCAGGTGCTACATCTCTCTCTCTCTCTCATACACAACACACACACAAATACACATTTTCTGTACTCACCTTCACATTCACCCAACTCAAGGTGGTCGAGTTTTCTACAAGCATCTTGCCATATCTCCACAAACTTGAAAAACATTCCTAAGAATATAATTTCTTTTGAACAGGCCGCTTTGATCGGCGGCTACATGTGAGACCCCCAGATGAGCCCGATCGGGAAGAGATATTTCATATTCATCTACGCAAGATTCGATGCAGTTCTGATGTCAACATATATGACCTTGCTCGTCTTTCAGAAGGCTGCACTGGCGCTGATATATCGTTCATCTGCCAACAAGCAGGCGTTGAAGCTTTAGAGGTTTGATGGTTCCTAATTTTGTTGCATGAGTGTTTCTTTTCTAAATCTAATTAAATCATGATTATCCTTCTATCAGGAGAACCTTGACGCCTCAGAAGTAAAGATGAAACATTTCAAGACTGCAATTAAACAAGTGAAACCAAAAGAAATTCGGCTTTATCAAGGTCCATCAGAAAATTTTCAGGGACGTGTTGCTTCTAGCGCAAAAATAACTAAGCCTTTCCTCTCTGTCTTACTCCATATTTTTGTAACCTGCTTGTTATTTTGGTGGATATGCTGTTAGTCAACATACTCTAGAACCTGTTAGTGTTATACTGATTACACTTAAGCGCAACCCTGTTAAAGTTCTTGAATTTTTAATCAGCCTACAATAAGGCTATTTTTGTTGGATGCTTTTGAAGTATGTGTTATTCTCGATCCCTACTGTGGAAATGATCTATTTTAAATTTACCTTTCGTATTGTGAGCTCTGTAACAAGATAAAAATTCCAGCAATGACGACTGAGGTCTTTGGGGAATAAAATCACTCAATCGTATCTGATACTTAGATTGACAATACATCATGATAGAATGGATACTACTGATACAGCAGTAGGTAGTTAGATTGACAGGCCTGTCCGGAGGTTGATTAAAACAAGAATTGAAGTTTAGCTTCTCGAGTTTTGTTCTAGGTTGTTTAGCCTTCATAGTGAGGATCATTCTAATTTTTCATAGTGAGTTGGGCAATACTGAAACTATAAGCGGTCTTTGAAATTTTCACTCATGGGTTTTTGTGTTTGTAATGCTAATCCAAGGCAGAATTTCCACTATTTCACAACTTTGCACACTATAGGAGTCATGTCCATAGATGATGTCTTAGGCATTGGTGTCTGCAGTATGTCATTTCTTCTCGGTTCTTTGATTTATGTCATTTCTTTCTTCCCTTTGATCTATCTTTTTTTCTCCTCAACCTCCTATATTCTTTTCAGTTCTACTGTTTTGAGTGTTTAATTAGATACCTAGGGGCTGTGCTACATCATTTTCTCTCGTAGGGGAGGGTGAAGCCTTGGGCATCCCTCTTCCTCCTCGGGTTCAGTACCAGATTGGGCGCCTTGGAAAGAAACACATACCACTAGCCTAGATATATGGAAATGATTTAATGATTTTGTGGAAGTTTGAAATATGGTCACAAAATTGCTTATGTTTATTTTAATTAAGGCCTCCTTTTTCTTCTTTTTGGTCCACCATTCTTGCATCCTATTCTATGGCTGCATCAGTTTGTGTATGAAAAACACATGTAGCTCCATCACCATGACATCAGTCGACAAAGAGATTCTCCAAAAAATGAAAAATAAAAAGATGAGTGCATAAAAACACAGAAATTTTGAAGTGTGACTACTTTGTATTTCAATCACATTCGCAGTTAATTGGCAAAAGGGTCATCCAACTTTGTTTTCCCAAACCAACGTGCATGTTTGCTTATGTACCTTCCTAGCTTTCCGCTAATAGTGGGCAAAACTATTTCATCGCAATCATATGGGGCTTCTATTGTAGCTTTGTGTTATTTACACACTAAAGAGAAAAAAGATAATAATAACAAAATAACAAAACCGAACCAAGCAAAACAAAGCATAAGTGTCATCATCATGAAACACATTTAGATATACGCGAATCATCAAAATCTATGTCGACCTCAACTCACAATACTTGCCCTAGTTATGGAGGGACGGTTATGAGGTGAACAGTAAACTCAAACGTCCAATATTCAAATTTTCACAAGTTCTAAACCACACAAAATTCGAATTATCTAATACATACGCTGTGATATAGAAATATGATTGCACATATCTGAGAGCTACCTCAACGTCTCAAACCTGATGAAGGAGAGTGGATCGTAGGGTTTTTCTTGTTATAAAAAGAATAACCTATGCCCTCACAGATAGGTACTTTTCTATCACAGGATTGAGTACCCAATACAATTATAATAAGCAAAATATAGAATATAATCATATGGATTGTAGCAAAAGCGGGTCACTTTCCACAAACCAAATTCCAGATAAGTAACTTAGCTATCATGTTGACAAGTAATTAACAACTCGGAGGCGTGGCACAGTGGCACTTATATCCAATCAGAGTTAGTTGGTGTGATTTAAAAGATTATATATTCAAAACGCACTTTCCAGAGCAAATTAAATTGATGTTTCAATTATTGTGATCATGACAGCGTTGTACACTTTGCACTGATCATGTGTGTGGGTAAGATAAAGGCAGATAAAGGCACCTTTTACTCAAAAATCATGTGAGAAGAAGTGAGAAATGACATTTAATAATATGCACAACAGTAATAAAAGCATGATCATGACATAAATTATTGGAAGTAATTGTTTTGCGAAAGATTCATAAATAGAGATCAAATCTGATTGTGGACTTTTAATTAGTTATATTGTTTGGCTATTGCCTTTCCACTTAAGCTGCAAATTCCTTGTAAGATAGCTAATTTTTAACTTGCTTACTCTTCACCCTATGCTCCTTTACTAGTGTCACATGCAGGATCGCTCGATATTGTCTGCTTTGGACCCTCCTCTCTGCCTTTACGGTTTTGATTCTGGGAACTCACGAGCAACTTCCCAGTGGGTCACCCATCCTGGGATTGCTCTAGCTCCAACTTGCTTAACTTCGGAGTTTCCATGAATCCGAAACCAGTGAACTCCCAAAAGGCCTCGTGCTAGATGGAAGTGGGCATGTACATATAAGGCACATCAGACCCTCTTTGTTAGTTGATGTGGGATCTCACAACTAGTTTACCTACTTTGCCTTTAGACTATGTACTCTTTCTTTTGTTTCACCCTTGGAGACGGTGAACAAGACATAACCTCAAAAAGTCAAACAATATGGGTAGAATATTTTCAGGTTATATTTCATTCTCCAAAAAGAGGTATTTATAATACAAGGTTGTAACCCTAGTAGGGTTATACAAGGAAATAAGATAAAATCCTAATTACACAATATATGTACAATCCTAATAGTGTAACATCCCGACCCAAAATAAAAGGAATAGTGAATTAATTAATTTCAAGAATTATTCATTTATAATTTTGCCCTCGAAGTAGGGGTAATTTGGTCATTCTTAATCTGGGAGGATTTCGGGGCAGTGGCGGGTACCTTTACGTATTTCGTATTAAGACGAGTCCGTAGACATGCGGTAGGCTTGAATCGGAGTTGTAAAGAAAAAGTTACGAGCAAAACATCACCAGTGGCATAATCGTAAATAAGTTGAAGTTTGATTTTAAATAAAACAACAGCAAACCCCCCTCATTTCTCTCTCTCTCTCTCTCTCTCTCTCTCTCTCTCT